TTTCCCAAAGCCTTTCCCCAATTTAAACACCATTTGCCTTTCGTCAAAGGTTTTAAATAATTTTCATTTGTGCAACACATTCCTATCTGTTTTGAACATTTTAGCAAAGATAATGGAACTTTTAAATTTAAATTTGCTTTAATTTGGCAGTCTTTAGTTGATAAACATTTAATTCCGACATTAAATGTATTTTTGGGACAACCTAAAATTAATTAAAATTTTTACTAAAATTTTGCTTAATAATTTTTGAATCAAAATAATTAAGAATGAAAACACGAAAAAACAAAAAATCAAAATAAAAACTTTTAACTTCCCTCTATCTTCAAAAGTTTGTTTATTAACCATTTCTTTTTTTATTTTTGTTTGTGTACAACAAAGGCCCCGAATACAAACCTTTCAAACAAAAATATTTTTTTAAATTAATTAATTATTTTACTTTAATAATATTTTTATTATTTAAATTATTGCAATTATAATCAGCCAAACAATAAGCATTCAAAAAACGTCCTTTATTTGCACAAGGATTTGAAGATTTTGCAATATTTGATGGTAATTTTTGGGTTTTAATAAAAACAAAATAAAAAATAAAAAAATAAAATAATAATTGTAATAGTAAATTATTTAAAATTAAAAACATAAAAAATTATAGAACATTGGGAAGGATAATTAAAGCTTGTGAAAATTAATTAATTATTAAAAATACCTAAAAAAAATTTTGTTTTGATATTTAATAATGATGGAAAATTAAATTGCTACAAGAAAAAGTCAAATACTATAAAACGAGTGCAGCCAAATAAAGTTACTAAAGATTAATCGAGTTTGGGCCAAAATTTCGATTCTTAAACTTTTAAATAAAAATTAAAAGCGTTCGCAATTTATTCCTAGAATAACCATTTATCTAACTGGATTAACGATTCCTCCATTTATTTTAGCTAGTTTATATTTGTTTAGCTTTTATATTCAAAATCAAATACGTTTTTAATATAATCAAATACGTCTTCTAGTAGAAGGGGCTGGAATAGTTTTCAATTCCATTAAATACTTCAGACACTGGGACTAAAAACATTATCGTTTATAAAGGCTGAAAATTTTTTGGGGGTTGATATAATTAATAACACAGCACGCTTTTTGTGGTACGTGCTGGCATGGGCCACTCTATTTGGTGAATTTGATGGGATTCAATTCAAGAGAAACCTAAATCCTATCGGGAAGCCCCAAGGGTTGATCAGATCCTCTGGCTTGCCTAGGCACAGATATTAATACACGCGAGATATCAAGCGTCTCTATTCATAGGGAAAAGCAAGCAATATAATTAATAAAATATGTGCTAACTTAGACTGAAATAGGTGAATAATACGGGCGAAAATGTATTTATTGAAAAGGGAAAATGTGAGATTTAACTTTGCCCTTTAACCTTTTGGATAATGTCCATCATTACACCTCCAACCTTACATACACCCCAGGGAAGACGTCCCTGGTCCTAAAATATCTAATTCTCAAACAGTGCCAATTAACCTTGTTTAAAATATTTTGTTATGTTCCACTCCTCGAGCTGAGTCGAATGACATCAAAATCACTGTGATAGGACAAGTTTGGGCTGAGATATAAGGATTTGCCCAATCCAGGAGAAGATAATTTTATATCACAAGAGTTTGTTCACTTCAGATATTGAAGGATTAAGGCGAATAACAGTGATTTAGAATGAATATTAAAGTTTGATATTAAAAAGTGGTTAGCAAAGATAAAGATTGATTTAAAGTAATAACAAAGGTTTTAGGGGTACAGCCGTTATATCGCGAGCTCAGTATATCGCCGTGCTAACTTCGTTCAAAATTGTCGAATCCGGGAGGCCCTGGTATGGTTCGATGCGCCTCAACGAGCTGAATCGAACCATACTAGGGCCTCCCGGATTAGACAATTTTGAACGAAGTTATAGCCCGGCGGTATACTGTGCTCGCGGTATACTGGCCTGCTCCCAGGTTTTAGAGAACTAAAGCGAATAACCGTGGATTGATTGTACTTATATCAAAGGGTTTTGAAAAATTAAGGAGATTTAAGCATATCAGTCGAGTTTGAATGAAAAACAGAGGGTTGAAGTATAAAAAGACTTCTAGGAAATTTGTATTATTATCATAGAGAAGATTTGAAAATTTTCAGAGATGAATTTGGTTTTATAAATTTTCTTTACTCAAAAAATTACCTTATCTAAGTAAATTTCTTCAAAGAAATTAGCTTAATGTTTTTTTCTAGACAGCGTGTACGAAATTCAGGAATAGTTGTTTAAAAATGTAAGCTTGGTGTGATATATACATAGATGCGAAATAATTTAGAAAAAAACCCTAGCATTGGAGAAAGGAACGTGCAAAAAATGTCTTGCCTAAAAAATGCGGTCCGGTAAATGGACTTAGTTTAATTTACTAAAGTATTATGACAAAAAAAAGGTTTAAAAAAATTTAAAACCCTAAATCCGGCATAACAATATTAAAAAAACGGTTCTTATTTTTTCGATCGAACTTCTATGAATTTATACCTATAATGAATTGATCATATCAAAATAAGTTTTCAAAAACATTATTTGTACACGTACCCCTTAAACATAAATTAAGGACCTATATATGGAGCAAAAAAATCGTTTTTACTTTCACACAATTTGCAGCTATTAAATTGCAATTTAGAAACGACAGAAAGAGCGGTAAGACCCCGTGCGAAGCGCGGGTTTTGCACAAGCTCCTTGCCGATGCCCATAGGTTTTGCACAAGCGATACGCCGATTCCCATCTTTTTAACAATTGGCGAGACAACAAGTTGCTCTAACATAGATTCAAGGCCGTACCCTTCCCGAAGGATTTGTTTATGATCTTCTAAGTAGACGCCCAATTGGAAATGGTCTCCATTGAAAAGAAACCCTCATTGGTCTCAACCCTCATTGGTCTCCGGTGTAAAGTGAAATCTTTATAATTCTAACTCATTACATGTTTATTATCAGGATTTTCTTAAGCTCTATTTTCACTATATTTACATCTTTGTAATTCTAACTCATTACATGTTTATTATCAGGATTTTCTTGAGCTCTATTTTCACTATATTTACATCTTTATAATTCTAACTCATTACATGTTTATTATCAGGATTTTCTTGAGCTCTATTTTCACTATATTTACATCTTTGTAATTCTAACTCATTACATGTTTATTATCAGGATTTTCTTGAGCTCTATTTTCACTATATTTACATCTTTATAATTCTAACTCATTACATGTTTATTATCAGGATTTTCTTGAGCTCTATTTTCAATATATTTACATCTTTGTAATTCTAACTCATTACATGTTTATTATCAGGATTTTCTTGAGCTCTATTTTCACTATATTTACATCTTTATAATTCTAACTCATTACATGTTTATTATCAGGATTTTCTTGAGCTCTATTTTCACTATATTTACATCTTTATAATTCTAACTCATTACATGTTTATTATCAGGATTTTCTTGAGCTCTATTTTCACTATATTTACATCTTTGTAATTCTAACTCATTACATGTTTATTATCAGGATTTTCTTGAGCTCTAGTTTCACTATATTTACATCTTTATAATTCTAACTCATTACATGTTTATTATCAGGATTTTCTTGAGCTCTATTTTCACTATATTTACATCTTTGTAATTCTAACTCATTACATGTTTATTATCAGGATTTTCTTGAGCTCTATTTTCACTATATTTACATCTTTATAATTCTAACTCATTACATGTTTATTATCAGGATTTTCTTGAGCTCTATTTTCACTATATTTACATCTTTGTAATTCTAACTCATTACATGTTTATTATCAGGATTTTCTTGAGCTCTATTTTCACTATATTTACATCTTTATAATTCTAACTCATTACATGTTTATTATCAGGATTTTCTTGAGCTCTATTTTCACTATATTTACATCTTTATAATTCTAACTCATTACATGTTTATTATCAGGATTTTCTTGAGCTCTATTTTCACTATATTTACATCTTTGTAATTCTAACTCATTACATGTTTATTATCAGGATTTTCTTGAGCTCTAGTTTCACTATATTTACATCTTTATAATTCTAACTCATTACATGTTTATTATCAGGATTTTCTTGAGCTCTATTTTCACTATATTTACATCTTTGTAATTCTAACTCATTACATGTTTATTATCAGGATTTTCTTGAGCTCTATTTTCACTATATTTACATCTTTATAATTCTAACTCATTACATGTTTATTATCAGGATTTTCTTGAGCTCTATTTTCACTATATTTACATCTTTATAATTCTAACTCATTACATGTTTATTATCAGGATTTTCTTGAGCTCTATTTTCACTATATTTACATCTTTATAATTCTAACTCATTACATGTTTATTATCAGGATTTTCTTGAGCTCTATTTTCACTATATTTACATCTTTGTAATTCTAACTCATTACATGTTTATTATCAGGATTTTCTTGAGCTCTAGTTTCACTATATTTACATCTTTATAATTCTAACTCATTACATGTTTATTATCAGGATTTTCTTGAGCTCTATTTTCACTATATTTACATCTTTGTAATTCTAACTCATTACATGTTTATTATCAGGATTTTCTTGAGCTCTATTTTCACTATATTTACATCTTTATAATTCTAACTCATTACATGTTTATTATCAGGATTTTCTTGAGCTCTATTTTCACTATATTTACATCTTTATAATTCTAACTCATTACATGTTTATTATCAGGATTTTCTTGAGCTCTATTTTCACTATATTTACATCTTTGTAATTCTAACTCATTACATGTTTATTATCAGGATTTTCTTGAGCTCTATTTTCACTATATTTACATCTTTATAATTCTAACTCATTACATGTTTATTATCAGGATTTTCTTGAGCTCTATTTTCACTATATTTACATCTTTATAATTCTAACTCATTACATTCTAACTCATTAGAATGTCTAGTCAGTTGAAAGAAAACGATGAAGTCAGTCTTGAACAGGAAAAGAAATGGCAAAACAGTCTGCTTGCCAGGGACAATTCGGTGTAAAGTCGGAGAAATGTGTAAAGTCGGAGTCCCGAAGTTGAATACGATAGTCACTAGAAAAGAATGGGACCTTAGAAAGTTAGAGTCGATGAAGTCATTTAGAAGTCAGTCAATTTCAAGAGATAGTCTAAGAACTAAGGAAAGTTCGATTCGTAGTCAAATGTTTGAAAATTTTAGATTGAAGTCGAAGGATGCATCAGAACAGACGAGACAGTTCCAGCGCGACGTTACGAGGACCAATGAAGTTAAGAAGACCTGAAGTGACATGATGATTTGGGGCAAGTAAATGTGATAATATTGTTGATATTTTGTGTTGTTTGTTTTTGTATTTTCCCCCTGTTTTTTTGTTAAAAACGTTCGAACTAAAAAAACGTTCGAACCCGCAAGTAGTTAACCCACAGTCGGTGTCGTGGCTTTTTACTAATCCACTACCCGTCAAGTGGTGGAGGGGTCCGACAAAAACCAAAAGGGAGAGGGAATGCAGCGGTAAAGATCAAAGGGAGTGGACACTGTCGTGGGGAAGGAGGGGTCCGATAAAAGGGAGAGTGCATCGGCAAAGATCAAAGGGAAGTGGGCAGTGTCGTGGGGAGAGAATGAAAAACCCAAAAGAGGGGTGGGTAATTTTAAAACATGCGGCTGGCAATAAAATCTTGCTTGTCTGTTAATAATCCTATAAGTAGTAATCATGTACTTACAACCTTATTAATCAATAATTTTATTAAAAAACTTGTACAATTTTAAACTTATGAAGTACTAGATTTTAGGGAGAAAAATGCAAATTTTGGAAAAAGAAAATGCAAATTTTTAATTTTTATTAAAACCAAAGCATTTTAGGTATGTGCGTGCTCTGGGGATGTTTGTGTTTTTTAGGGGGCGTGCACGTTTTGGTGTAATCCACTGAAAATCCAGGTATAAAAGGGTGGAAATTCTGGATTCTAGTATCATTATTTTAAAATGGGCCAAAATTTGTTTTCCCAAATCCTCCCTGAAGTTGATTTCCATATCTCTTCGAGTGGAATTACCGTCCTAAGTTCCCGACTTACCACTCCACGATTTATTCCTTATGATCAATCAGGGAGATGTAAGGAGTGTAAGAGCACTGAAGTGGAAATTGACTTTATTGTGACTAAGGAAGGGATTACCATCTACTGTACACGAATTGGATCAGGTACTCGATTTGTTCCGTTCGATACAGTTTATGATTTACCTACTCATTGCTTTTTCAAAATCAAAAATAAGGGAAGAGTTTTCAATGTCCCTCATGGAGTACAACAACAACAGATTATCCATCAAAATCCAAAGAAAGGGAAAAGGAAATTGGATGAATTACCTCCTACAACTGCTCCCACTAATAATTTGTCTTCTCAAATTTCCCCTACTCCTCTTGTACCACCAGCTGATTGTCCAAATGTTATTTCCAATACCTCTCGTCCTGATACTCCTCCTGATAATGTAGAGTTTGAGAAGGAGCTCCAAGAATTTTATGATAGTTTAATGGCAGCTACAACCGGATTTACTTCATCGCCGAAGAAGATTGAAGAGTTAGAGAAAAAGGATGATAAAAATGTTCCTATATAAACTTTAGTTTTTTAACGTAAATATTTTTTAATAATGGAATCGCAATCATTTACTAATAAAGATTTGTATTTTAAATTACCTTTTGGTATGATTTTGTCTGGTCCAAGCTCTAGTGGGAAGAGCTCATTCCTATTAAAATTTATAGCAGACTCCCAAGATTTGATCGATCCCCCTCCAAAAAGTGTACTTTATTGTTTTGGGGAGATGAACGATAATATCCCCATTCTTCAAAAGTCAGGAGTTAATGTATATGCAGGAGTTCCCCCAGAGGAGCTAATAAAAAGCTATTCAAAACCTTTGCTCCTAATTCTAGACGATTTGCTCCTGTCTATAGATGAAAAGTATTTGTCAGAATTATTCACTAAAAAGTCCCACCATCAAAATTTTGCAGTTGTTTTTGTTACCCAAAACCTATTTGAGAAAAAGATTAAGGTCGCCCGTCAAAATGCCCAATATATTGTCTTGATGAGGTCACCGAATTCTGCACTATCTGTGAGAAATATTGGAGTACAACTATTTCCTCGTCAGTTGGACTATTTCCTTGATGCGTATAAACAGGCAACTAATGAGCCTTATGGATATTTGCTCATCGATTTGCATGCATCCTCAGACACTGCGCTTAGACTCCGTACCCGTATATTTAAGGACGACGAAGAGAAGATAATTTTCATTTCCAAAAATGTTTAGTCAATTAATTTGTGAGAATAAAGATTTTTTACGCTCTTTAGCGCTTACAAAATCCGAAAGGAGATATAAAAAACTTTTAAGGAAGGCTGATACTAGTCAGTTGTTATCCATTGTTGAAATTTGTTTGAATATTGTAAAATCGCGTTTTAATCTTAACACTCGTCAAAAGAACCGTTTATTACCATATGCAGAATTTATTCGTAAATTGAGTCGTGCTAGGAGTGAACGGGGAGCAAGAAAAGTTTTGAGGCAAAAAGGTGAAGGAGTAGGAGTATTTGCTGCTCTCCTCACTCCTATTCTAATGGAACTAGCTCGAGCAATTAATATAAAAGCCTATCAAAATAATTAAAATCAATCATAAATGGCAAAAAAATTAATTCTTGTTCCAGAAGAGATTTATAGAGGGCTTACTTCAAATAATTATGGGGACCCAAATTTAGATTTCACAAAGAGAGCGGTGGAGAATGCTAAAAGTAAAAAAGAAAACCTCTCTGCCAAAAATATTCATTATAACCAAGAACTTAGACGATATCTTAAACTAAGGAATGAAAGTGAGAATAAACCTGTTAGAGTTGAAATGGTAGCTAACCCCAAAGGAGCAATTATGAATAGAGATGTTATTAGACCCGCAACAAATATTACAGACGATAACGATGATTTATGGATGAGCGATGATTTTTCTTATTCAGCGTACCCACAAGAGCCGCCAGCCTTATCATATAATATTGTTCCTCCTTTGTCAAATTCTCCAAATGAGCAAGTACATCCCAGAGGTAGAAAATTATTAAGGAGCGGAATTTCCCCCACTCCTCCTACACTTAGACAAAAAATCAAGAGAAAAATTGAGGAGGATGATTATGGACAAAATAAGAGACGACATTTGAGTAATTACAAAAATGAGAGAAGAGATGAGTATATGAAACTTTCTGAAAAGGCTAGGAGTAGAAAGCAGAATTTAGAAAGGAAAAAGATGTTGAAAAATTGGAGAATTCCTTATACCCCTGAATATAATGCTCCTGTTGATGATGATTTTCCTCCATCTCCTCCCATCCCAACTATTCCTGAAGGTCTTGATGCTCCCCTTGTATCTGACTCTCCTCCAACTAGACAAATTACAAAAAGGGGACAGTCAGAAGAGTTTGAAGGTACAAAGAGATGGAAGAAAGGATATGATGAACACCATGAAGCAAAATTAAAACGTGAACAGAAAAGAAGGGAATATTTAGAAAGAAAATTAAATATTAGAGAGCAAAGGGTTCCAATTGATCAATCAGCGCTAGTTAAAACTCGTAAGGACGATGATATTCGAAGACGTCTAAAATTAAAAAGAAAATGGGAAGGTCCAGACGAAAGTCCTCTAATTGCCCTGAAAAAAGTAAAACCTGTCACAAAAATACAATCAGCAAAAGCCGGTAGAGAATGGATGCTAAGACTTATAAAAGCTAAACGTAAAGAAGCTGGTATAAAAAGATTCAAACCAACACTTTGGTAAAAATGGCAGACCCCACACAACTACTACATCGACTTTACAATAATCCAGATTCACCTGCTGCCTTTTCTGGAGTTGATAGGTTATGGTATGAGGCACGAAAAGTTATTAAAAAGTTACCTAGAAAAGTTGTGCAAGACTATTTGGAAGGACATAGGACGTATACTCTTTTGCGTCCAAAAAGAATACATTTTCCCAGAAGTAAAACTATAGCGGCAGGTTTTATGACAGATGTACAAGTAGATTTAGCTGACATGCAGGCTCTCTCTAGACATAACAAAGGAAATAAGTATATTCTCCTAGGAGTTGATGTTCTCTCCAAACGACTCTTTGGTGTCCCAGTTAAATCAAAGGGTTCAAAGGATATGTTAGATGCATTTAAACAACTAATTGGTCAAATGCCTATGAAACCTCATAGGATATTCTCCGATAAAGGGTTAGAATTTAAAAATAAAACTGTGAGAGAATATTTTGATCAAGAGGAGATTCAAAAATTAGAGGCTACTCATTCAACAGTCAAAGCTGCTGTGGCTGAAAGGGCTATAAGAAATGTAAAGCAAAGACTATATAGATACTTTGCTCAAAATAAGTCACTTAATTGGGTTGATATTCTGGAAAAAATTTTAGATGGAATAAATAAGTCAAAGAGTAGAGTGCATGGACTAAGACCTATAGATATTGACTTTTCAAATGCCCAGGAAGTGTGGGAGAGAATGTACGGTAATGAGATTTCAAAGAAAAGAAAGTCAAAATTGAAAGAAGGAGATTTTGTTCGCATGAGTATTGGAAAGAGTGCTTTTGAAAAGGGATATATTCCGAATTGGGGAGACCAAATTGTGCGAGTGGATAAAGTTCAGGATCAATTTTATCCTGTTCGATATAAAATTATTAATGATAAGGGAGACAAATTTAAAGGGTATTACTATAGAGAGGAGTTGGCACGTGTGAAGAAAGATGCAGATACAGAGTATAGAATAGAGAAGGTTATAAGAAAGAAAAAGAGAGCAGATGGTACATATGATATTTTAGTAAAATTCATAGGATATCCCGAAAGGGAATGGATCCACGAAACCCAACTTGTATAAAAGAGGGTTCATTTCATTGTATTTACCTCATTTGAATAAAAATGTCGAATAGTTTTTATGTTTGTTTATTGAGCAATGTGTCTGATTATCCTGATAACCAGCCGAATAAATTTAGGGTCCACTTACCTAAACCCCTTTATTTTTCTGGTGATTGGGTTTGCGGTGTACACAGCATAAGTTATCCATATTCATGGTCATCAACCATTGGTACACTTGACGAGCAATGGATTGATATTAATTTTACAGATAATAATAAGAAGGGACAAACTATACGAATTCCAGTCCCAAAAGGGTCACATAATACACCTGAAGAAATCTTACAATTTTTGATTTCAACTTTGAGACATCAAAGTTCAGCTCTTGATAACACAGCTCTTGAAGAGTCATCTGAAGGGTTCTTTGATTTCATTGTATTATCATTTGATTTCATTGTTTTTGATTCTTTGATTTTTGATTTCATTGTATTATCATATTATCATTTCATTGTAAAAAGGAAAAGTCAGTTCTTCATAGGAGAAATAAACGCCAACATGAGGAACTAAAGGACCTCACACCATATAATGAAAATGAGGAAGAGAATGAATCTTTAAGGTCTCTCTCTCCTTATCAGGAGGATGTCGAAGAAACATCACCACCACAAAAGAATAAAATTAATTTAACTAAACAGTCTGAGAGTGAGGAAGAAAAAGAGCAGTCAACGAAGGCACAGAAAAATGAGGATAAGAAGGTAAAAGAACAGGAGCAGAAAAAAGTGGAGGAAAAAGTGGAGGAAAAGAAAAAAGAGAAGCCAAGAGAGGAGATTAAAAAGGAGGAGGAACGGAAAAAGGAAAAGTCAAAAGTGGAGGAAAAGAAAAAGGAGGATAAGGTGGGAAAAGAGCAGACAAAGGTGGAGGAAAAAGAGAAGCCAAAAGAGGAACATAAAAAGGAGCAAGAAAATGTTTTGAGTGTTTTAGGAGTAGGAAAGAAGGAAGAAGAGAAACCATCGGAGAAACCGATAGACTCGTCTGTTCTAAGTACCTTAGGAGTTGGAAAGAAAGAAGAAGAGATAACACAAGAGAAACCGAAAGATACGCCTGTTCTAAGTGCCTTAGGAGTTGGAAAGAAAGAAGAGAAACCGGAAGATGTGCTAAGTGCAATAGGACTGGGAAAGAAAGAAGAGAAAAAGGAAGTTCTAAGAGAACTTTCTCCATACAAGGAAGAAGAACCATTACCACCACCTCCTAAGAAGGAAAGAAAAGAGCAATCAAATGATACTAGAGTAAAAGATAATAGTACACAGACACCGAGTGTTTTAAGTGCTTTAGGATTGGAAAGAAAAGAATCATGGACTCAAACACCATCACCACTATTAGAAACTATTGGGTTAAAACCTAAAGAGGGGAAAAAAGATGTTTTTGATATATTGCTGGGAAAGGGGAAAACGCCATATACAGCTACTCTTCTAAAACAGATTATTGATTCAATATCGATCAATTATCTCGCTGACTTTAAGAGATTTAAATTGTCCTTTACTCATTCTAGTATCAAATATGTATCATTTTCGCCACAATTGGGATATGTTCTTGGCTTTGCAAATTCACAACATGTACAAAATAATGAAATTGCAAAATATGCTTATGATTTAAGAGGAGGATTTTCAAGTTTTGCAATCTATGCAAAGGGACTTACTGAAAATATGATCGTTGGAAATTCTCTAAGTTCTCTACTTCGAATTGTTTCTGTCTCAGGAGCAATACCTGGAGAGTACCATGAGAAAATTTATGATTCTCCCATCTATGTTAGAGTGCTCCCTAGAGAAGTTAATGAGATTGAAGTTGAATTAAGAACGATGGATAATGGGAGACTTGTACCATTTGCATATGGTACAGTAAGCATAGTATTGATTTTTAAAAAAGTGATAAATTTTTGAGACTATATAAACCCTCGTTTTATGTTGTAATTATTTTATTATTGATAAAAATGGTTCATGTTCAATTTGATACAAACTCAATAGGGTACAATTTTGTTTTAGATCAATGTGGGAGTGGCGCGGAAAATTATTATTTTAAGGGAGCATCGCCATACCAGAGAGGGTATGGGCAAAGAGGAGCAGGAGTAGGGGATATTATGAGAGGATTGTGGAGATTTTTTCTCCCAATTATCCGGAAAGTTGGAAGTACAGTATCTGCTGAGGCACTTAATACAGGACAGCGCTTACTTGAAAGAGTTAACCAAGGTCAGCCGATAAAGGAGGCATTTGTGAATGAAGGAAAAAGAGGAATCGATACAATTTTAGAGAAAGGAGGACTGCCAAAACAATTTGGGACAGGAAAAAAGAGTATAAAAAGGACTAAATTGCCCTCCCATCAAACATTTATTGGTAAAAAGAAAAAACGTGTAGACGCTTTTGGATTTTATTAAATATGTCTTTTAAAAAGATTGATAGAGATAGCCTTGATACAATTACAAATGCTGTAGAAATTTTTCAAGTTCCTCCTACCAATGTTACCATTTCATCCTCAAAAACATTTGAAATACTTCCTAGTAATCCATTAACCGACACCCCCTTTCATTTTAAAATTCATTCGAGTGAAAATTTTATTGATTTATCCAAATGTTACCTATTCACCGAATTTCGAATTCGCAAAGAAAATGCGAATGGACAACTTGTAAATATTACTCTTGATGAAAATGTTGCTCCAATACAAATGATTGGAAATACTTTTATTAATAATATGAGAATAAGTATAAATGGGCGCGAAATATTCAATTCAAACTCTCTTTATGCCTATAAGACGTATTTTTCCCATGAGCTCTCTTATTCGTTAGGAGCAAAAAGCTCTCATTTAAATTCTGCCGGGTATTATTACGATTCAGGTGTATCACAAGAGGCCGGAGCAAGTTTTAATTCAAGAAAAAATTTGTTTGTTAATAGCCGAACAGCACAGTTTATTTCAAAACTTGATGCTGATCTTTTCAATCAGCCTCAATATTTGGTAAACCATTGTGAGGTTGATATAGAAATTTTGCCCAATGAGCCAAAATTTATTCTTATTGCTCCTCTTCCTGTCGGAGCTCAACCTACACGTTATATTTTCGAAGTGATAAGTTGTAAGTTATATGTAAAAAAGTTGGACTTGATGGATGGTCTTGCTTTAGATATCGCTAGGAGACTTGATGTTAAACCTGCTCGATATGCAATTAGAAAAACAATGATGAAACCGTTATTTATCAGTCAAGGAAGATATGAGTTCCACGCTAATTTGTTTATGGATCAAATCCCTCGTCGTATTACTTTAGGATTAGTTGCAAACTCTGACTATGTAGGGACACAAGAGCGGAGCCCCTTCAATTTTCAACCTTTTAGAGTTAGAGAAATTAGTATTATAGCGAATGGACGCTCATTTCCTCAATCTCCATATGATTTTGACTATGGGTCAAATCGATATGTGAGAGCATTTCATGACATGAATGATGCTATAGGATTTTCTGGTACACCGGATAACAATGGGATAACATACCAGCAATATGGGCGAACTCACTGTATCTATGTCTTTAATCTTACAAATAGTGGTGAGGATAATGGCGGGACATTTGATCTAATAAAGAATGGGTCAACAGCTGTAAATATTAAGTTTAGTCAGGCTGTTCCAGAAGGAGGAGTGATGCTCATAGTAATGGGAGAAACAGATGCATTAATAATGTTAGACAAAAATCGATCAATAACAAGTGATACCACTATATAAACTCAAAATTGTTCATTTTCTATTCATTTTAAATAAAAATGTTTTTTAAAAATATTGCAAAAGTTTTATTTTTTCTTCGAGTTTTTACTCCTTGCGTTAATACTCTAAGTACTGACGGGAGCGTAGATGTTCAAAACCTTCCAGAATATAGGGAATATTTACAAAGAATGGGATATCCCCCAAAGAGGAACATAACTGTTCCGAATATATCCGCTCCTGCTGCTCCTCAACCTTTTGGTAGTCTCCCTCAAATTCAACTAAGTAAGGAGTCACCGCAAGATATATATGGACATATATTTTGTTGGGGAATGATTTGTATGTACATTCTTCTTATTATAAGTCTTGTAATTTATCAATTTCGATCAATACATTGGGTCAGATTAAATATTTTGCGAAGAAATGTACAGCAGCCAGATAATTCAAATTTTGAGATCAAACCCAAAGACGAGCAAAATTTTCAAGGGGTGCTTCCCTTGTGACTTGCTCCCTTCTCCTAATAGTTTGAAATGCCCTACAGCTCTTATTGTCAACTTGGATTCTCATGATAAAGATGGCTCACATTGGATTACACTTTATTTAGAAAAAGATCAAATATTTTATTTTGATAGTCTTGCACTACCAATAAGTTCTTGTATTGTTAACTCATTCCTAAAAAATTTTAAAAATGTAAAAAGAAATTCTAACCCATACCAATCACCACTCTCAAAGACTTGTGCTCACCACTGTATTTCCCTAATATATTTTCTATCTCGAGGATACTCCCTTCCCAAATATTTAACATTACTAGAGTCAATCAATAATACAGATTTATTTGCATCTAAAATTGTAAATAAAATGATAAACAATTAATTATTATGTATTTCAAGATAACTTTTTGTAATTTTAAAACAATCTGGACAAAGATAAAATTCATATTTAAAATTATGGTCATTTTTTGGTACTATCATTTCGCACTGCATACGACTCAAAACGAACTTTAGACAATCATGGCACCATTTTCCAGCTCTGAAGTAGTTTATGAGTACACTTAGTCTTGCTCCAAAGTCAAGTTGAGCGCCATCTTTGATAGCCTGACTCAATCCATTCATATATTTTCTCTTGTGAAATTCTCTATATTCACAAGTTCCGTGCATAAACTTAATAAATTCTTCTTCAGGAGAGGAGCTCATTTTTGTAAAATTTTTAAAATGATTAGAGAAAATGTATGGAAATCAAAAAATTTGACATATTTATCAAAATGTAAACTTTCAAAATATCAAAAATGGGGGTATAAAAGGAGAGGAATTTTTAATAAAAAATCATTCCATAAAAAATGAATTCTCATTCCTCATCTAATAAAGTAATTGACGAGTGCACTAGAATTTTGGGGTGCTCTATAAAATCTTTGAGAGATCACCTCAATCATCCTGATAACCATGTGCTAATTCTAAAGGAGCTCCTTGGTCGTAAAGTTCAAACGACCTATGAAGATAAAAATGGCTTTAAGAAAACTTTTCTTATAGATGGCCTTACTCGACATGGAGGAAATTCTCTTGTAGCTTATGGGAGGTTACCTTTCCCATATAATGTGAGTGTTGCTGCTCACTTTTATTCTCGTCACCGGATTCGCCTACGTTACCCATACCTACAATGCATTATTGAGCGTATTCCATTTGGAGGAGAGGATCGTTTTTATCCTTTGGAATTGCTTGAATTTGTGGAAGAAAAGGAGGATCGATTGGCAAGAAAATGGTTGAATCATCTCTCCAATGATATATCAAACAAACTAACGATATCAGAGGAGCCAAAAAGCCCAATAATTATTTTGAAAAAAGATGAAGACAATAATATTGATATTTGGTAATTAATTGTAATTAATTTAGTTTTGAATAAAAATTTTGTATAGTCAAAAATACATGCGCACCTAAGAAATACACGCGCATGCCAAAAACACGCACGCATACATAAAATTCATGAATTTCAATAAAATTAAAAAATTGTATCTTCTTTTGTTAAAATATGCACTTTTCTCCCTAAAATCAGCTATTTAAAATTGCAAACTTTGCTTTTTTGCAACTTTTTTCACTTAAATTATGCACTTTTCCCCCTAAAATCACCTATTTCGAACTCTAAACTTTGCTAATCTAATCTTAATTATGCACTTTTACCCCTAAAATATACAACTTTGAAACATTAAATTTGCACAAGTTTTTTATAAAAAAATTTATTTCAAAATAAAAACAATAAAAATTATAATTGAAAAAATGTGAGGGAGGGGAGGAGACCGGCTTCGCCATTCGACTCCTTCATCTAACTCGACCAGGGATGTTAGAATTACTAAGTCCGCTACCACTGTATCTCAATGAGAGGTATGCCTCACAACATGTGAATGGCACATGTTGATAATCATCGTAAACAATGAGAGGACGACCTCACAACGTGTGAATGGCACACTTGATATTCATTGAACAATGGTTGGTATAGAGAAGATAAGGAGTACCCCTGACTACTTTCCGGCTCCAAGAAATATTGTGACAAAATGACAAAAAAAAACTATGGAGGAGAAATACGAGGATGGCGATTATTTATGAATCCATAATTGAGAATAGAAAAATCAGAAGGGCGGATAATTCCCTTACTGACTACAGGTTTATACAATTTATGTTGGGGCTGTGAAGTGACACGACCATCTTTAATTGATGGTCTCAAAAAATTGGGGTAAATTATATCAATTGGTTTAATTTCTCCTGTTCTGGCATAATTAATTACCTGCTCCTTGAATGTGTTGTATTGTAATCCTTGATTTTGAATCACATCGTAGTTTAGAGTCATTCCGCGGACTTTTAAAACATATTCAGCTTCTTTTTGTCCTTTGCGTTGAAGTTTGAGACCATATTGCTTTGCTCCTCCACAACAATATTCCAATATATTGTGAGAGGGGTACTCATCGGTTAAATCTCCCAGGTGAGGGCCCAAAGGAAGAGGACATAAGTTTGTAGGATGAGCAAAAATTAGGGAGTCGGTGTCTGTGTAGAGCAAAGAGCACCCAGGAGAACGAGCAACTTTTT